AGCACATGCCACCCGGCAGATCCTGTGCTACTGATTCAGGTCCTTATTGCATCTCCTACCACTCGAACATTGGCCCAACATGCGAGACCCCTGAGCGTTCTCACAACCCATGCCCATATCGCGCGTCTTTGCTGAAACGCCAGGCGCTTTCAACCCTAAGCGTGAAATACTAACCTTACAACCCACGAAGCTTGCTTGCACCGAAAGCTCCTTGATCTCCAGGTTCAGCCAGATCAGCCCCAGACCTGGAATGATGTCCATGAAGCGAGGAGGCTGCTAATTGCGACAATGGTAGACTTACTGGCATTCGGAGTATGGCAGAAATACTAGACTGCTAGAAGCCCGAAAGACACCCACAACCACCATCACCACGCATCATCATCATCTTCTTCATCATCTCATCACAACCATCATCGTCACTACTCCCAGCAGCAATACCATCGTCGTGGTCATCAAAGGTCATAACGCGATAAAGTAGGTCAAGCTCAGGACGATCCCCACCATCCCTCTGTGGTGATATATCGTGCGAAATACGCCAATGGCTAAAATGTGACAGCTCAAGACAGGTGAGGTTCAACCTCGAACACCGCACTGCAACATTGTTCCCAGCATCCTTTGCGCCGGAGAATGTAGATATCGGTGCAAATGGCTACCCCCGATAAGAACAAAGAGTCCGTTTGCTTGATACCAGAACCGCAAGACCACGACCGAGGCAAGAAGGGCCCTTTAACCAAGGAGGAGATTGCGGCTCCTCCATGCCACATCACGCCGAGACATAGGGCCCCCAACTGGTGAGAGTCCAAATCATCGAATGATGAAACTCCGAACGCTGATGCTGAGACTCCAAAGCGCAAAGCCCTATCACGCAACATAGCTCTTCTCGATTTGCCGAGACCACCCCTGCTGCTTGCCCAAAGCCCTGAGCTTTCAACACCAAGATACTTAAGACGTCCCGTTTGACCAACCGAGGTGTGGTCGCTAAACCCATGCTAGTAAGAAGATGCTATGCAGAAGCATTCTGGCGGCCTATGCTTCCACACTTCGGTTTGAAATTGTACTTTCTCATCTGTAGTAACTGTAGTGTCGACTTCCAGGCCAAGGCTTTGAGGAAGAGATCTGAGAGATGCTGACCGCGAGAGTGTGTTTGCTGAAGCCTCGTGCGATTCGACTGGTGCCGGCGATCTCACTCGAGTAAGCACGTTTGTAGCTGGCTACGCAGGGGAGGGTTCGGGCTTGGGCCGGCTTGGGTTTGAGGTTGAAGAAGTATCCCGCATGGGGGCTCTCCGTGGTAAGCTCTGAGGGTCGGGGACAGAGGAGCTTAGCAATCAAGGGGCCGAAGTGCGGGGTTGGTTCCGGGGGTTGGCGGATGTTCCGCATTGGGGAGCATAGGACGCTGGGTCTTCGGCATGCAAGGGCTGAGGAGCAGATGGGGGCTTCCTGGGTCTTCGTGTTTCCGAAGTTTTCCGAGTTTGGAGAAGGTTCGGAAGAATACAGTGCCTGCGGATCGAGCGACGTTGTAGTTCATCGGTTCATTCAGTGAAACGTATAAATACGGGCAAAGGGCTACATCCCAAGCTTTCTATGCCCGAGCTGAGGGTTCGCGCAGTACCGGAATTTGTGACATTCGGCTTTTCCGGTTTAGAGTTTGTATAGACCGCAGCAAAACCGACGATGAGATATAGCTTTTAGGGATCAGCTTTAGGTGGAGAAGCTGTAGCGAATTCTATCCAGAGCCTAGCGAAGTCGCACAGAGATGGGTTTGCCTGTGTCTCTTGCACGTGTCGTACTAGAATCGGAGTCCATAACCGAAAGCCGAGACACCTTCAGACGGTTCCTCAAGCAGAAATCCTACCTGACCCATGCTCTCAAATAGTTCGTCGGGTGACCAAGCCGAAGGCTGTCTCCCAGCTCTGCCCCCACCATTCTCCGTGCTTGAGGCAGTCGGCAGTACTGTACTATTTTGTGCCAATGACACTTGCCAGCTCCGCTGTGTACAACAGTTTACATTGGTCTCCACAGACTAGCTCGGAATCGCAAAACTACCATCACTCTTTCGTCTGGATGTGAATGCTGCGCCCTCGCCGCGGCTTTACACCCTGGACCATCAAACCATGATCCCCACACCCTGAGCAGTGGAACTGCGAACTCCGTGCCCCGAAGCTCCACGAAAGCAGCAGCAGCAGCAGCAGCCTTGCTCGATTTTATGTTACGGGGGGCAGAGCTTTGAAAGTCCGCTACTCCGAGATCCGGCCCAAGGTCGATCTTGGGTGGTTTACGGTTAGAGAGAGTGTAAGGTTAAGGTTAAGGACCTAAGGAAGTCAGAGAAAGTCGTGTGGTGACCGACTGTTTCGATGTAGGGAGGTGGGCTTCTAGAACTGTAGAAGCCGTGAAGGACATGTCGACGCTTCAGCATTAACCCGAACCTGAACCAGGACAATGTCAGTATCTAGAAGTGGTAGTGTGAGGTATCCGCCGGAGGTTGTCCGGCTATTCTGTTGCAGCCGGGGGTTCTGGCCTCCGGGTTCATGCTTATGTGCGACTGTTGCAGTCGCGGGGGAGTCGCGGGTATGTTAGTGTGAGTGCTAGTGAGAGCTGCCTCGTTTCAAATGAAGTGGACTTATGACTTGCAAGCCAGATCGCACGGCATAAGCACTCATGTGATGTAGCAGGCACACCAAGACCAGGGCCGAACATTGCTTGCAGGACCCTGCGAGTTAGACTCGGAGCATGTGCAGATTATGGAGCTGTATGCCTTCATCGTTGGAGTGGGCTTTGGAGTCTACTATGGTTACCTAAGAAAGGTAGTGGCAGTTGGCTCGACAAGAAACATGCCCGGTGAAGAGACGGGCCACGCCCTGAGCCCCCAACCCCAATCCAAACCAAATGCGAAGCCCTGAACTAGTCTGTTGTCTGCCCGTTCAGGGGTATGTCCACCATAGAGGGAGCCGTGCCTAGAAAGTCGTGCCCGCACTAGCCTTTGATGGCAGCAAGACGCCGCTTTTCAAAGAGCCAAACTTCTGCGCCCCATCTGACAAAATATTCTGGTGACTCTGGATGCCCGTCTGCCGAAGAGAGTGGAGCTTTTGGTCCCAAGCAGCAACAGAACAAGGAAGCGCCAAGACTAGTAGCAACATCGTTCCTTGCTGACCTCCCTCTCCCTTGTTGCCCTGCATGCCTCCAACATCGTCTACATGCTTGCGCAGCTATGTTCAGTCTGAAAACAAACGGACAAAATAGACCAAAAGGCCTTGGTCAACAGAGCCCGGCTTGGATATATCGAGTAGCAGCTCCGGACGACACACGAGTCCGGCTTCCGAAGATCATGAATCATATGAACCCTTCTCACTATAGCAAGCTTCCGGTAGTTTTACTTGCGGTCGTGTCGTGCGTGCTACACGGGTGTGTCCGGTTTAGTTATTCGGACGTACGGTGTGCAAGGTCTTGGGGCTTCAGGGTTGAGGAGTCAATCGGAAAAGTGCGGGTTCTGCATGAAGTGGTCATTAATTCATTAAGACGTTGACTTCCAGGACCATACAACGGGAAGAAGCGCTCTCTATCCCGGAATCGCCTGGTTGTGGTTGTCCAGTTTTGTGCATCACGGAACCTTGAGTTGGTTAAGGGCCTGAGGCGATTTAAAGGGGGTTGTGGATTAAAGATTTACGTTGAGTCGGTTTAGGATTTAGGGTTCTGAGCTTGTGCTTAAGTTTCAGACGTAGGATTGGCTCCGAAGCGTGCGCAAGACACAAGAATGGCGTGGGGACTCCTGGGCATATGAATAGTAAATACTAAGGGGTGTAGGTTCCAAAATGTGGAAGAAGTTAAACCTGCTGACGAAAGGCATGACCTTGAACCTTGGCCCACGCGGACCATAAACCCTTAGCTGCAGACAGGAACCAGGGTCGGGTCAACGACCGGCTTCTGCACAACAACTTCCTGAAGGCTTGGCTGGTTTGGCCATTGTGGTTGAGTCACGTGGCGTTGGGTTTGGAACGCGTGGCGTAAGCCGGGGCTGAGGACTTTGCTTCTGCCGGGAGTTGCCGGGATTGAGCTTCAGCTAATACCGGCCGGAGGACTACGCGGCTGTTTGGGGACTTACAGTGAGAAGTTCTGTGCAGGGGCCGGATCCGGATGTCTAAATACAACTCAAAGACTTGAACTCAACCACCCCACACTTGTAAAGACGACATTTTCGAAGGCCTGCGCCCATGCCGGCGATGTCGAGAGGGCCGAGCTCCTCGAAGCGGATTCCTGGGGTCAGTGTTTGAGACTTGGGGTTTAATTAAACGGTTTAGGCTCTTTGTTTTTTTGTTTCTTTGCTTGAGAAGCCTGAAACCATGAAGCCCAATCCTTGCTGGTTCTGGTTTTCGTTTCAATCTGCAGCCCTCTGTTTCCATGTTTGAGGTGTAGTACTCTCTGGAGTTTCGGAGGTTGGGGTATTGCTTACTGTTTTGGGATGGGGATGAGATATTCCCTGCGTTTATTACTAGTTTGAGAGTTGGGGTTTCGTGTGTCATTTGATGAGTTGTTTTCGTTCATGATAGCCGCATGACCGAAGCCAGGAAACAGCAAAGCCTACTCAAGACAAGCCCTTGTGCTACTGAGCCATTGGGCCATGTCGATTCTTTCCGGGCAGGGATGACAACAACAGCGCTTCCACGCGGTGAGACGCGAGACATGTATACCTGCGGATCAACAGGCCTAGCGGCCTAACCTCACACCGCACAAGCATGCTGACGGACTCTGTTGTCCGCTCGAAGGTGTTCTCGCAACCCCGCACACTGTGTATAGAGAGTAAACAATGTTGGGACGGTGAGAGCGGGTGCCGGTTTGAAAGCGATATGCTGACGGGTTTGGATGCATGCCTTCGACATCGAAGCTTGAGCGACTTCGGGCCTTGTCAGGACTGGAGTAGTCCGACTTGTAGGCGAACAGTTTCAAGATTTTGGACCTCAAGCTTCGATTTCGCTTCCACGGAGAAGCTAAGGCGGCATTTTCAGCAGATGCAGTCAGATGGCGTGGAGGCAGCTCTCGGGGTCATGCTGTGCATGCTTCGTACCAATACATCCATCACCTAGCAACCCGGGGTGTACAAGAAAAACCGACACTACGATCGCGAACAAAATGCAGATGTATTTAAGTATTGAGGCCGTCGCGGACAGTTCTCTTGGAAGACATGTACAGGCAAACATCAAGACCTACGGCAAGCTCATGGAGGCTGCTGCGCAGGTGCAGCGGCTGATGTTTTCGTAGTCACATCGGTGGGCTCATTGTCGGCCTGGAGGCTCAGAGTTATGCCTGGAGCTCCAAGCTGCCTTGGTACTCCGTCTAACTTCAAGGCATGACCACCACGCCGTCATCTTTTCAATGATTATTTGAGTTTGCTTTCCTGACGACGGAGCCGACGACGAGGACGATGACGATGATGCAGAAGAAGAAGACCAATAGCACAAACGAGAAGCATGATACTTATGAGGAGGAGAAAGATGAGGAGGCGGATGAGGCAGGTATGCAACCGAAAACAGCTTAACATCAAGGCTTTCTCGCAAAAGCAAGCGTATGGGCAAAATGTCTATGTTGCGCCTTGTCTTGTCGACCTTTTGAGAAAAGGACGCAGCATATTCTGCACGTTGTCATGGCGTTGGTGGCTTACCCCTCGAGGTGGGTGATGTTCACGCGACGAAGAAGTGGTTAGAGGAACTCCGGGCTAGCTGCTTCACCCCCGATGTGGACCACTACAACATGAGCCGTGGCCTAACCTAACGCCTCCTACAGGGTAGCCGCTCCGAAAACTCAGGGTGATTCAGGGGGCTGATCCGTGGGGCTGCTCAGGGTGGTTTGTGTCGTGTGCACAGCGCAGCGCAGCGCACATGCTTAAATCGTGCCGATGCCCAAAAGACAGAGCTTGATCATGAACAGCCTGCACTTCGCTTGCAGTTTTTCGTTTTAGAAGAGATGGTGCGCCGACTTGCCGCTCGGTCGCCAGGATCCACTACTACGGCTACTACTTCGGCTTTACTGCTACCTCTACTTGCACTACTACCACAACCACTGCCACTGCCATGCTTCTCCCACCACTGCTTCCACTACTGCCGCTGCTACTGCTGCGGCGACTGCAACTTCTCCTGCTACTACTTCTGCTACGACGACGACGGCTGCTGCTCCTAGTACTAGTACTACTGCTGGTGCAGCAGCTGCTGCTGCTACTACTACGACTACGACTACGACGACGACGACTACTAGTCCTACTCCTACTCCTACTCCTACTGCTACTGCTACTTCTACTTCTACTTCTACTTCTACTTCTACTTCTACTTCTACTTCTACTTCTACTATTACTACTACTACTACTACTACTACTACTACTACTACTACTAACTACAACACGACAACACTACAACACTACAACACTACAACACTACAACAACACGACACTACGACACTACTACTACTACTACTACTACTACTACTACTACTACTACTACTGCTACTGACTACTAGTACTAGTACTAGTACTACTACTACTACTACTACTACTACTGCTACTACTACTACTACTACTACTACTACTACTAACTACAACACTACAACACGACACTACGACACTACTACTAC